ATTTGTTTAATTTTACTGCCCTGTGAAGGGGTTTGCTAGCAGCTGTAGGCGCGTCCCGAGACGCGCCGATTATTGCACAAACAATTTTAGTTGCTCCCTTTTATTAAGAGGAAAAAATTCCGCACAATTTTCTCACATACCTGTATATTTATTTCAATTTTTCTTGCACGCTTCACGTCGTAAAAGTCATACCAGTCTCACTGCGATTGATGAAAAAAGTGTGCGGAAAATTTTCAGTGAGTAAAACTGTTTCTTACAAATGTCTCAAATATTAATTACGAAGGGGAAAGATTTCACCTGTTTTGATCCACTAAGACTTTTTCCAGCAGGAGAATTTCGTTTTTAATAATGTAATCATTTTTTAGTCCCCAAAGTTTTTACATTCGAAGTCACGACAGGGCTGATAAATATAATTTTTTTCAATCCCAGCACATCATTTTTGTTTTTTGTTTATACTGTACGATGAAATGCAAACAATAAAATCAATATCTCTTGAATTGGGTGATATACACTCCGAGTCGTTCACCGATTTTTTCTGACGAATCCATGAATATGGGGAAAAAAAAATTTTCGATATTTTCCGATTAAGACAACGAGTCTGGAACTCATCCACAATCTCTCCGAAGGAAAATCGGGTTCAACGACGGCCTCAAAGACATCATCTATAACTTGAATATAGATCAATTTGAAAAAGAATAAACAAGTCCTGACGCGTCATGATGAACTTCTTCAATTATAACAAAAGCTCCAATCACGTCATCATTAAAACCACAAATACAAATTCCGAGAAAAGATGAACACAGTCGATATAATGTCCATGGATGCCTTGTGTGCATCATCACGTGAAAGCGGGATACCCTATATAGGGCTTCGCAGTGACCAGAAATTTCTCCAGCATGACCCTCGCAAGAGTTTTGGCACTCTCATCAACCCCTGCCAATAATGGCCGCCTTCGTCTTTGGCAAACAACCGGTTGTAGGACGTTGTTGCAAGACCTCGGCATCCATTGCCAGGACGAGAAAGAATCAGACCGCAAACTCGGGCTCGTTAGGGCCAAGCAATCAGCGTCTCCTGAATCTGTCACATAAAAAAATATTAAGAGTGTACTCGGTAACTGTTTTCTGGGGCGGGAAAAAAATATTGAATGAAAAAAGTGTACACTGTATAACGCAATCATCGTCCTTGAGTTCATTAATCAAAGAGCACGTTGGGTGTACGAGTGTGTCTGGAAGCACGAGGGGTTTCTTTCTTTTTGCTTTGAATGCAAACCCTATTTCCAGAAGATATTGTCCCTGGAATAGGAAACCTTAATGCATTTTTTTTTGCNGTTTGTGTCGGCGCGTCCCGATGATGCGCAGATTGGATTACAGTTTTGGCTCCAATTTGGCGCCTTGTTTCATAGAGGGACCGCGAGAAAATTCCGCACATACATTTCCAATCAATAATCGTGATGCTTGAACACTTTAATTAAAAACGATTTTAATAAAATGCCACGAGTTTTACAGTTGCAGGTTGATCATATTTTTATTGACTTCGTTTTATTTTAACTCGAGTTCTTCCAAAAAACCTAGAAGAAATCAGTCGCGAGCTCGCGACTCGCGAGGCAGAGACTGAAATGATGACGTGTGGTGTTAGAATTTTCAAGTTCTGACTTGGTTGAAAGCCTGCATTTTTTTCACTAGCCCAACATGGATGATTCAATGTTTTTCAAGGTTACTGCATTCTAAAATATCGCTTTCATTTTGAGCTTTCTTGGAATTTTTTCAAATGGAATACAGTTCCTAATGGCTCACTTTGAAAAGCGATATTTCTTTCTTCCAGAGAAAATGTCTAATGCATGAGTGGCACACTTCCAATTTTAAATAATAATGAATTGTACAGCTGAAAAATATAGTCAGTGATTTTCTGCCACGGGCAGCACTTCTCTTGAGTTATTTGGCAATCCTTCCAAACAACGGCATGACAAATCTTTTTCGGAAATTGATCCAGTGAAAAATGTTTACTTGTGTTCGTATACCGTATACAGACATACTCGTAGATCTCAAATGTGAAGCAGCTAATTGATGCATTTCTTTCCCTTTTCCTCATCATACAGTCAATGCCCACAACACTCCTCATCGCAACAGTTCACACACTTCGAAAAGCTCCATAAAGGAACCCTGCCCCGTGAGAAATAGTGTACCCGGAAGAATCGCACCCTCTATACGTACATGCTAGGGGTCCCATATATACACAGTGCGGAACTGCAAAGTGGATGTGCCTAATGGAAGCAGGTCCGTGTTTCAGCCTCAGGAAATGAAACAGCGGGACTCCATTGCGAGGGAATTCCAGAATGGACCCGGGTGCTGCACCAATATATATAGCCTGAATATTTCCACCGCGATAAGAGCGAATTTCCTATTTTAAATAGCGATAGGAACGGCTGATACGATGTAGTGCGGTAACGAGTTCCTGAAGGAAATTGACCTGATTTGGCAAAAATATTTCAACCTCTATACGACCTCTCGAAGGTTATTTCTTGATAATGATCCCTGCCCATTCAAAAATCTCCGCTAATAACGGGGGGGGGGGGATTTTGATGGATTTCTTTTCAAAAATTTTGAGAAATACAGGTGTTGAGAACGTGCCAAAAAAGGGAAAAAACTTGTCTGAAATTTGTTTCCAATGATGTAGATGCTGCTTAATGGTTTTGCAGTTTTGGATTTTGTATCCCAATAAACTTGGAAATGTGTGGGCCTCAATAAAATGTATCGTTGACAATCCTAAAACGATATTCACATTTATCAATAACGAATGGCGTATTATTACGAAGAATTTCACAGCTCACAATTCTTTTAATTTTCTCACATACCTGTATATTTATTTCAATTTTTCTTGTACGCTTCACGTCTTAAAAGTCATACCAGTCTCACTGCGATTGATGAAAAAAGTGTGCGGAAAATTTTCAGTGAGTAAAAATGTTTCTTAAAAATGTCTCAAATATTAATTACGAAGGGGAAAGATTTCACCTGTTTTGATCCACTAAGACTTTTTCCAGCAGGAGAATTTCGTTTTTAATAATGTAATCATTTTTTAGTCCCCAAAATTTTTACATTCGAAGTCACGACAGGGCTGATAAATATAATTTTTTTTCAATCCCAGCACATCATTTTTGCTTTTTGTTTCTACTGTACGATGAAATGCAAACAATAAAATCAATATCTCTTGAATTGGGTGATATACACTCCGAGTCGTTCACCTATTTTCTCTGACGAATCCATGAATATAGGGCAGAAAATTTTTGCGAAATTTTCCGATTAAGACAACGAGTCTGGAACTCGTCCACAATCTCTCCGAAGGAAAATCGGGTCCAACGACGGCCTCAAAGAGATCATCTATAACTTGAATATAGATCGATTTGAAAAAGAATCAACAAGTCCTGACGCGTCATGATGAACTTCTTCAATTATAACAAAAGCTCCAATCACGTCATCATTAAAACCACAAATACAAATTCCGAGAAAAGATGAACACAGTCGATATAATGTCCATGGATGCCTTGTGTGCATCATCACGTGAAAGCGGGATACCCTATATAGGGCTTCGCAGTGACCAGAAATTTCTCCAGCATGACCCTCGCAAGAGTTTTGGCACTCTCATCAACCCCTGCCAATAATGGCCGCCTTCGTCTTTGGCAAACAACCGGTTGTAGGACGTTGTTGCAAGACCTCGGCATCCATTGCCAGGACGAGAAAGAATCAGACCGCAAACTCGGGCTCGTTAGGGCCAAGCAATCAGCGTCTCCTGAATCTGTCACATAAAAAAATATTAAGAGTGTACTCGGTAACTGTTTTCTGGGGCGGGAAAAAAATATTGAATGAAAAAAGTGTACACTGTATAACGCAATCATCGTCCTTGAGTTCATTAATCAAAGAGCACGTTGGGTGTACGAGTGTGTCTGGAAGCACGAGGGGTTTCTTTCTTTTTGCTTTGAATGCAAACCCTATTTCCAGAAGATATTGTCCCTGGAATAGGAAACCTTAATGCATTTTTTTTTGCGAGTCAGATTCTGATGTCAACATACTTTTCATTGGAATCCTTGATATATTTCCGTGAAATACTTTCACTTGAACCTCAAATCCAGGTGGTTAAGCCACCAGCATTCATTCAATTTGCTGCGCAAGTGAAATATCCAAAAAGTTGGAAAAAACGGAAGCGTACATTTATTGATGCAACTTTATTGGTTGCAAAAAATTTAGGGTTCCAAGAAATAAAACGGTGTGACAGAGCGAAGGTATATAAATTGAGTTCAAATTCTAATTTCGTTTTGTTGACAATGGAAGAACTGTATTCTTGACCAAATAAAAGCCTCGATTTCTCAAAAAGATGCATGCAGTATTTCAAAAAAAAAATAAAACAATACCTATTCATTTTTCAAGTTCGATAGCCCAAAACGTTTTTTTTTTTTTTGAACGAACACTGCTGCCAATAAAATTCAATGAACAGATTTTTAAAATCTCGCTGTTATCAGGATATTTTAAGCTTTAAGGCATGTACCAAAAGTTTTCGTTCGAGAAATCTCGGGGCAAAAATTTGAATGTGCGATTGAATGGAGTCTCCAAATCACAAGCAAAGTTTACGAATCCATTCATTCTGATCGAGCGTTTCTTTGAATATGGCAAAAGAAAATAAACTATACAAGGGTTTTGGTTCATTAAGTTTTGAGACTTTTTGAAATAGATCCAGGGGAGCTTCAACAATTTTTAAAAAATGCACTTGAATAACCCCATCATTTTATAACACGAATATAATACTCTTCAAAATACTCTGGAACAATTTCAATGCATTTTTTCATGTGACGAATCCAAGGATCCAAACAGTGCCAAAAATTGAGTTCCACGAAGTAATATTCGATCCAGCAAATTCTCGCATTAGTTTTCAGATAAACAACAGTGAAAAGTTAAAATCCTGATTTTCTGCTGTAAACTTTCAAGAAGTTAAAACAGCATGTGTGAACCGAAAGATGAAATGAAAGGATTCCTCTGATCTTAAATTATTTTGTAGAAGGAAATGAAAGCGCATCATTTAATTTTTTTTACAAAACCTCGATTTTTGGAGAGAAAAAACAAAAACAAAAATAAAGGTATCAGGTATGTTGCAGACTGGTTGAAAGTTGACAACATAAAAGGTTAAGATGTGGATTTGAAGAAGTTTAGAAAATAAAACACATAATCCGCCTGGGACAATGGCAGGGAATCCTTGAGGAGATTCTAAAGTTAGAAGTTTACATCTATTTCAGATACCTTTGTTCCAAAAGAGAAAGAATTTCAATCACAAATAACAGCAGAAAATTTTTCAACACAGAACACCTTTCAGCAAACGTCTCACGCAATTGTTTGTTGGGCAACAAACTTATTAAGAATACGGGTGATTTATTATTTAGGGAGGGCTTTTTATTAATTTCTCGATTTCCATCCTTGATCAAAATACTGGATCAATGGCGGGATGGCACCAAGACATCTGATTGGCTTGAAAAAGTTGAGTCAAAGATGTCTTGGTGCCACATTTTTGATTTTGAAGAGAGGTGGAAAAGACATTACCAGATCTCTCGACAGTTTCGACTTGGGTGGTTTTTTTCCACTCAATTTATTTTATTTTGTGATCCCGACCTTTGCCCTAATTAATCCGGTCATGAGCTGAGTCCCCAACAAGGTCTTCTTACATTCCTTACAATTCAGTTTTCGGAAAAACCTCCATATATAAGCGCCTTAATTTCATTCGGAAACGAGGTGAAAAAATCAAGCAAGCAAGCACGCTTTAAAGAACACATCCGATCCACCAAGAATTGTTGACACATGAAAAAGATGTTGCAAGAGAGATCACAGAAAATGAATGCATATGTATACGAGTACAGTACCTGATGCTGCAGCAGAGCGGATCCAATCGCTGAATCCCAACTCATCGTTCATCTGCAGCAAAGCCCCGGAATCAGTCCACGTCCACAAACCGTCAAAAAGAAACGGCGATTCCCCGGATTTTGCGCAAAGATTCACATCGCACCGTCTGCCAGACGTCCAGATCGAATCCAATCTCCCGCCAACAGCAGCAGATTCATCTACATCAGACAAAATGTATTTCATTAAAATTCCACCAGAGCACCTTCTCTTGTTATGCCCAGCATTTCATATTGATAGAAATGAGCTTAATAAGAAAGATTTAGGAGTATTAAAATTAAACGAAGAGACCCTTTCTGAAATCACAGTACAGTAGATGATCAAGATCAACTGTTGACCTTATATGATTTATCATCAAAGCTCCTCTCTGAATTGTTCATTCAATTAACCCTTTGTGCGGTGAAGTTGGGATATATTCACAAAATTTTGTGTCACTGAGAACTGGTAACTTGAATAATGCAACTTTAGTACAAAGGCCTAAGTTGGGAAGAAGTCCAACATTTTTTTCTAATCCAGCAGAAAATTTTGGATGAAAAAAAAAGTACCTCAATGGGTGGCATTTTTTCCTGCATTCCTGGCATAGGATCAGCATTGAAAATTCCTGAAAACAAAAATAAATTGTCTCGTGGATTTTTCCCAGCTTAGGCCTTCTCAACCTGCAGTGAGCATTTCAGGGACCTTGGGTCAAACTGAAATGCTCCACCCCCCAAAGAATATCCCAACTTTGCTGCACAATGAAAATCAACCCTCCGCCATCTGAGGGTTAAACTTCACCTGATGGGAACAGGCTGAAGCTCTTGTGCTTGAAATTGAGTTCAGTAATTGCTGCAATTGCTATAATTGTGGCTTATGCTACAATTCTTGTTACTGATATTTTGTTTTGACTGTCAGGGAAAGAAGGAGGTTTATGCATCCACATCAGTTGTGCAGTTGTATATTCTGGAATGTACAGTCAAACCTTGTTAAACTGCCAACGTTTGTGCCACCAAATTTTGGCGGTTTAACAAGGGTGGTGGTTTAAAGGGGGAAGCAAAAAAAACTCTTTTTTAATGGGGGAAGGTTGAAAAAATGGTCGCACATAGAAAATAAAAGCAGCATATATAAGTGGAGCAAACTACTTGATTCAAGTTTTGAAGGATTCCATTTGAAATTTTTGGGGATCATAGCCTTATTCTTCCCTGCCATTTCACACACTTCAGCACTTCCACTTCCCAAGATCAAACTCAGTTGACTGGGATTAGAACTGCTTTTTTGGTTTGCATTTTTGAAAAAAAGTATGAGTTCAAGTGTTTGAGCATAAATTATTTTAGCTTTCTATTTAAAAGAAAAAATAAGAAGGCCATGCATCAGAAGATGACAACCTTCATGAGAGGAAACCAGAAAACCAGGCTTTAAAACACAAAAATCTGACTAACAGACAGCTAGGAAACCTGTTGGCGGTTTAAAGGGGTGAAAATACATGTTGGGAGCAGATTTGGTGGGGGAAATTTTTTGGCAGATGGCGGTTGGCAGTTTATGGGGGGTGTCCCATCCTTTCAAGTTCGGGACATTTTGTTTGAAGGAAAAACTTGGCGGGAAGTGAGGGTGGCGGTCTAACGGGGTTGCACTGTATTTTCTTTGATTTTGGCATCAATTTGCAGCTTATTTCTTGGTTTCCCATTATGAAGTGGATTGAATGTGTTTGGGTGGATTTTGGTCATGTGGGGAGGAGGTTTGGATGTGGGGATGTTGATTGAACATGGCGAGTGCTGAAAAGTGGTAAATAAAGCTTTCTGTTCATTCATTCATTAAAATTCAAATACTTCTTTGCCAAAAAAAGTCTGCATTGATAAAATAAATAGAATCATTTATGAGCCTTGCCTTTCACATGTTCCAGGCGTTCTTTGAGGAATGCTGCCTTGAAAGAGTCTTCAACAGAGACCGGGTACATGCAATTCGCTCGGCAGAAATCTCTCGCTTCTGTCCAAGTGAACTTCTGCGCAGTTCTTGTCCAGCTGAACATGTAATCGTTGTCTGCGTCGAATGCATCAATGTCACCTGTGATAAATTACAGGACATCTCGTAGTCAAAATGCAACAACAATTCCCCGCACGTATGTGCGTCTTCCCTCTTGAAACGCAATTTTTGGGAAATTTCATGGTACCAATTCATTCTGGCATACTTGCTCAATTATTTTTCAACTATTAAAGTAACGCTATGCTCCGCAATCAACAAAAAAATGTGCAAGCAATTACAGTATCGCAATATTCCTTACATCAGTTAATCTTCACCATTAGATATAAAAAAAGGAGATCGTTGCGTATCATTTTCTGATTGAATTCCTCAAAAGATTCTTGTACCGTGCATGTGGATGACATTTATTTTTTCCTTCAAGTAACCGTTCTCGGAAACATCGCTTTAAATTCTAGTTGTTAATTCCTGTTCGGGAAATTTTCTGCAGAATTATTGGGAAAACCAGTATAGTATTAGCAAAAGTATCTTCAAGGTAAATGGCCTGCTAAAACGCTGGGAACAGGAAAAACAAGATTTTTGGAGTCATACTCTGAAGATTAAAAGCCAATCCTCTGCCAAAAACGTAAAAATTCAGCCCAACGCAGTTTCTGTATGAAAGTGTTTTTTTTTTGCATCCCTCAGTTACACTTATATGAATAGCTAAATCCCCGGTAGATTTTTCATCATAAAATTTTATTCAAAAAGCATAAAATATGAAGAAGAATCAAAATGATGCCCAATACAATCGTGTCGCCACATTTACAACAGCCGGTGGGATTATTCCAAGGACAACGACTGCATCATGAAGTTTACAATATTATTCAAATCTTGGTTCACTATCCGAAGCACTCACAAAATTTGGCAGTTCGAGCGCCTCGGGCTAAATATTATTCAGGTTACAAAATTATTCAAAGCAAACATATGTGGCAGATCGAGCCCATCTGGCAAGATACTCTACAAATTAAATGCCAATTTAATACCCGAGTTATAATTGTATAAATAAAATATACTGTCGTTGCTGGTAAATTACTAACCCAACCGTGTAGTTGACGACGTTTGGCAAGTGGAACCCAGAGCTGCTGCTGGCGGACTCGAGTCTCCAACCCGGGTCTGAAACCCAGGGAACCCTTCAGGTTGATTTGTCAATGGGAAATCGAAGACGCGAGTGGGCGAAGTCACGGTGCCCTCTCTAATCGAACCCTTGAGAACATTGATGAGATTCGAAATCTTCGGTGCAATCTCGCCGCCAGGCTTCAACACTGTCGACCCGGGGCCTGTTGGAAACCGAGATAAAAAAAAATGAATGGGGTATATCCTGCAAAGGAATTCAGCACCATGGAATTTTGAATTGAACCCACATACTTTTCCAGTTTTCTTTTTTTGAAGGGAAAATATCACTTATATCATTCACCAATATGGTATGGGAAATAAACAGCGTTGAACATCAAATGTTAAAAATTAAATGGGGTATATCCTGCAAAGAATTCAGCGCCATGTTATTTTGAATTGAACCCACATACTTTTCCAGTTTTCATTTTTTAAAGGGAAAAATCACTTATATAATTTACCAATATGGTATGGGAAATAAACAGTTTGGACATGTCCCAAGATGTGGACATAATTGGTTCATCAAGAGTGCCCCTAAGTTGAGTCTCATTTCCCCTTAGACTTACATTATATAATTTTTAATTGGTGTTTTAAGTACAAAATACTCACCATAATTGCATGAAAATAAAATGATCTCCCAATTTGAACTGATTCAATGAATATATTTCAACACAATATGGACATTTGGGGAATTGAATACTGATACCTCTGTACGGTACATAGAAACATTGGCATTCTCTGTAAAAAAATAACATTCAAGTAAAAGAGAGAGAAGGAAGTCCCTCAATGCTGGAGGTAGTTTTTTTAAACCAGCTAAATGGATGGTAAATTGGTGAGAGAAATGCCCAAGAACGTTTCTCACATAAATTTTAGGGTTGGAAATATCTGTTTATTGTAATTTGGCCTGAAAAGTATTTGCAATTTTATCACAAAATGTCCCTATGTCAAGTAATTGTCCTCTAGTCACGCCTTTTTTTATTAATTTATATGGGAAAATAAATGTCCCTATGTTAAATTGTACACAGGTTGAGGTGTCTGCATGTGTGGGTCTCACTGTAATTTGTTTCATATATTAGCAGGCTAAAAGAGTCAAGCAAATTTTAAACTTATGAAAAATTCAGAACTATTTACGAAATTATAATGTGGCCACTCATCACAGCAATTATCCCAGTCGAGAAATACCAAGCCAGGTGCTACAGAAAAACATTCTTGAATCGTCTCAATGTTCAGTTAAAGTCAATTGCAAAAGGAAACTTTGATTTTGAATTTATTAGAAGTTACGCATATGAAATCGTTTATATTGCAAGCGTTAACTGATGAAAGACACGTTTAAATTTATTTTTCAATTTTCTTGTTTTCTTTTGAAATTTTAGAGAAACGCAGTGCTCTATATAGTTCGAGTTGGGCCCTGTATACAGTTCAGATTACTTTTAAAATCTTTTAATTTTTTTTAAATCATTTAAAATTTAAACCATGAATAATAATAACTCTTTAAGGAATATATTTCAAAGTTAATAAGTGAACTGACCCCGGGTTCTTTCCTATAGACGACAGCTAGCAAATGGTCCCCAAAGTAAAATAAGATTGAATGCCATCTCCTGACCTTGTCGCAATGCCGGAGAATGCCCGAAGTCAGTCGGAGTTGCAATCGTCGTCGTCGTCGTCGTGATGGGACTCAGTCGACGCGTGACAGTCGGTGCCAGGAATTCCTGATGACCCGACAGAGGTTGCTCAGTCACGCTGCTGCTGGTGAATATTGGCTGCTGCAACGAGCTTATTCTAACCTCTGCCAGACTACTCAAGTGCATTCCTTGGTCACTGCTGGCATTCGTCACACGTGGGGAATTCACTACTGGTGCGACAGCTCTGTTATTTGATACCCAAGGTCCTGATGACGAGTCCCGATTTCTGATGGTGGCCGTCGAGATCGGGAGCGAGATTCCGGCTCTATTTCCGCAGCACTGTGAAGTTTCATTCATCACTTCCTGTTGGTTCGTTTCCGGGGTCCTTTCCTCCACAAGGTTCCCTATCTGCTGGTTTATTTTTGGGAAATGTTCGTTGTTTGCAGCAACAGCAGGCGTCACCCGTACTGAACTGATGGGCAATTTTGGCTCATTTGGAGGGATATTTAGCGGTGATGATGATTGTGATTCACTTCTGGTTGATGGAAAGTTCGAAGCACCAGTTTCAGGTACACTTGTGCGTATTTCCGGGTTTCTCTGCTTGGGAAGCTCGAATTTTTCAAGGGGATGATTTTGCTGGGGAATCTGATCAGCAGTTTGCAGAGATGATGACAGTGTGTCTGATGGAAATGTTGGTTTGATTTCTAAGACATTTTTTGTTGGCAGGTCAGGAAAGTTTGATGCACTGGTTTCTTGTCCGCTGACACGAATTTCCGGGAGTCTTTCTTGTTCCGGTAGCTCCAGATTTTGCAGAGGAACTTGGTCAGTTTTCAGACGGTTTGCATCAGATGCCTCACGAACGCTCTCCGAAATGCTGGAAAATTTTAATTCACTTGTGCTTGCGTTTGTAGATGCTGGTGATGTGGTAATGTTTGAAGAAGGAACGAATTCATGTGGACTGATTTCAGAAATTCTCTCTCGCACTTCGTCGGTTTGATTTTGCGGAGGAATCTTGTCCATTTTAGACGACGCAATTTTTTCAGTAGCTGCTTCGTGAATATTTCTTGAACCATCTGAAATATTTTCTAATGCATTTTGAATCGGTGCAACAGAAGAAATTGGAGCAATAGATTCGTGTCCGCTTACACGAATTTCCGGGATTCTCTGATGTTCAGGAAGAAACATCATTTTTGTCAGGTTTTGCTGAGAAATTTCGTCGATTTTCAGCAGACTTCCGTTATTTCCGGATGTCTGGTGAACATTTTCTGAAGCACTGGGAGTTTTTGTTTCTGTTCTGCTCGTATTTTCAGCTGCCAACCGTTGAAACTCGGAAGCACTCGATGAATTTGCAGTCTTCTCGGTTTCATTTCGCACAGAAGTTTCTTCAATTTTTTTAAAGGGTTCGCTGGTGTTGGAAGCCTGGGGAACTCTTTCTGCTGGAGAATCGGGAAACATTTGAGTTTTGGTTGCAATTTTTGATGCCGGAGCTGCTGGAAATTTTGAGGCATTTTGGGAAGAATCGCCAATCATCTGGGTTTGATTTGCTAAGTCAGATTTCAGAGATGCGTTGGGCAAAGTTGACGGCGCGTGAAATCCATCTGAACTGTTCGGAAATTCGATCTCACTTCTGCTTTCATTTGCCATTATTTCCTGTTTGCGAGAAGGTGAAACATAACTTGATGTATTTTTGGTCTGGGTCTCTGCAAAAAACTGGTCGGTTTTCAGAAAGCTTTCGCTGATGTCCGAAATTTCGTGAACTCTTTCGACACTGCCAGATATTGTGATCTGACTCTTGCTTGAATTTTCCGTTTTAAAATCAGGATTTGGTGAGAATTTCTCCACTTTCTCGGTTTTGTTTCGTGGCAGACTTGGGCTGGTTTTGAATGAAGAATTGCTGCTTTCCGTTGTTCCATGGACGACCCTCTCAGAAATTTTTGGCTCATTTGTGCTTCCATTTCCAGTTTCGGAACTGGCAAGCTTTGAAACGTTTGATGCCATCGATTTATGATCTTCTTTCGTCTGATTTTGCGGGAAAATCGATTCAGATTTCACCCAACTGTTTTTCAGTTCTGAAGACTCGTGAACTCTTTCGGCCGAAACACCGGAAACGTTTTTCTCATTCGCGTTCGAGTCTTTAGTTACAAAATCCGTCAAGTTTGAAGAACCGAGCGATGATGTTGATGGCACAAGTTCGGTTTTCGTGGCAGAGAAGTGATTTTCCAGCAAGGAAGAATTTTTCTGCTGCGGAATTTGCTTGAACTGTTGGGAAATTCCCGCCGAAGATCCAGTTTCATCGGAGGAAGCTTTTCTCATCGAAACAGAAGTTCCCAAAGTTTCCTTAAAATCATCCAGGGATGTTACTGAGGGACGAACAGTGTCTATTGTTCTTTGGATCCCAGCATCCGTTCGAGTCCCATTTCCTGCTTCCGGCAAAATGTTCGAGTCAGCATTCGAGTTTGCAAACTTTGCGGTTTTCTCCCGGGAACTCGAGTCGTCACCATGGCCTTCTTTGAGACGAATGGGATTCTCGAAGATTAAATTAGTTTCGTTTCGAATGGAGTTCTTCGTGCTTGAAGACGAGATTTCCGTCCGCACTACAACAGTGTTGATGGGATCAACACTCGAAGCCGTTGTTGTGCTCGAATTGTTGATAATGCTGCTGATTCCGTCACTCGGTTGATCATTTATTGTTCGCAAGGACGCAGTGGGATTTCGAAGACTGGAATCCGGGATAATTGCGCCACTCACAATCGTCACGAGCAGGAAAGACGCGATTTCTGCATAAAACGTCCACCTCATGGCAATAATTCTTCGTCTTAATCTGGATTTTCGCCGAAACGAAGAGGAAATTACGCACTTCAGCAGTAATTTTGCACTAGTTTCATATCAGTGGAGGTATACGAAGTGCACAAATTCGCAGACGGAAAGACAATCGCATGGAAGTCACCCAAGAAAACGTCCGAAATTTATCGTAAAAACGAGGAAGTAGAACTTTTTTTACATTTGAAATAATGTTTTGAGGTCATGCGATCAAACAAAAAGGTCGCATCCTTCTTTAGCTTATTATTGTTCTGAAGTACAACAATTACTTCTTACTCGACAATTTTGCTCATGGGGAGACCCCGAAATATTTAGAAAAAACACATTAACACAAATTGGCGCAGTTACTTTAAAATTTGTAGTGGAACGTGTAGCAAAGATCTCGAAAATGTACCGTCTCCAAGACGATTCTTCAATTATAAAATTGTACCTGTAACACTGATATCTTTGATTCACAAAACATGCGTGAGTTAGGTAACAGATATTTTTCGAAATACTGGAGAGATAACTCAAAACCTATTTTAATTGCGTCAATATGAGGAGTAAAAATCGCGAAGGTGAGGATAGGAGTCAATATATTACTCTATAAAATTATGCACATCTCGTATAAAAAAAAAAAACTCATGATCAAAGGAATTCAAGGCTGCAAAAACGTATTAACACATCCTTGAATGATGAGAAAATTAATTGTTCTGGTTGCAGAAGGAACAAGAGTTAAAAACGGTTCTCAGTAATTCCAAAAAATGTTCAATAACTTTGACACAAACGTTTAAAGCTATTAATGCACTTTTCGCGTGTTCAGGCCAGGGTAAGAAACCAAAAACTGACAGAAATTCAATTAAAAAACAAATTCCACTGGTAATTTGAGAGCCTCTAAAAGTTCTGCTTGCAATATAGGAAATAAATAAATACGAAACCCAAGCAGTGCGGGGAATCCGATAAAAGGTATTTTACCCGCAGAATATTTTTTTGCACACACCTTTCCGAGCAAGTACTCAACAAAGTAAACGTTGAAAACACTTCAGAATGATGCGCAGCGATTTGTTGAGTACCTCAGAAAATTAGTTTACCGGATTTCATACTTACCATCACACGATTCGGGCTATGATGGGAAACCAACTCCAATAATGAAAAATAGCGGCGCGTAGAATAAAAAGGAAAACTTTCGGCGGGGTTTTCTGCAAGAACTTTTCGACCTTTCGGGCATATTTACAGCAAAATTCCGAAACCTCTTTTATTTGTAACGAATGCATTGAGAGAAAAGTAAGTTATTCTCCTCACTTATAATCGTATATAAGGCCAAAATCCGCGATGTGCACTGTTCGATCGAGCAAGATGAATGTTGGAAAGATTACTGAGTCTCGCGGCTGTTTTCTGGCTTGCCATCTTTCATTTTTTTGTTTTTACTTCGCTTCGACTGGATTCTGGATTTCCCCCGAAATCCTGTGCTCTTTTCTGAGAATGCTGGGGGATTTTCTCGAGCAGAATCTTCGAGAGAAACCTTGAGCGATTTCACACCAAGTTGAGCGAGCTTCGGCGTGATTTTATCCGAGATTTGAAGAAGACCGAAGCAGTCGACGCTAAATTCTTAGCTTTTCATTTATGCTAAAAATATAAAAAGATGTGCGCGAAAATGTACTTTCATAAACCTAAAATTCCATGCTTTTTGCTTGAAATGCAATGAAGCCTCCAAGTTAAAACCTTTTACAATATATGACTCACGGAATTCCATCCCCTGGAATTCGTTTTCGAATTTCACTCTATCCCATTCAATTTCACTTATTCGACTTTTCGAATCACAAACAAGTGGTGAATCAATATTCAACTTCAGCGATCCTAATCTAATCTAAGATTAACTGAAATATCCTGAATTTGACCAAATACGCAATAGAAAGTTGAAGAATCGTATCATACACGTAAATTCGTGAAGAGATTTAATGTTTCTTCTGTCACGGTATTTTTAGTTTAAAATTCTAAAGTCACTCAGGGCAACACGAAAATCGACGTATTGATTAATTTCACTTCATTGTTGAAGGCCGAGATGCTATTGTTTGCGAAAATCCGGCCTGAACAAGTTCTTCGGACCTTTTTTTGCTTTAGTTTTCTGTAGTGAAACGAAGCAAGAATTCCTGGTAATTTCGGTGGGGAGAAAATGAATTTCAGACGCCAAACGAGAAGAAAATTTCCATGATTTATTCCCGTCGTCGAATCATCGTTTCAATTCCTCGCAAGCACCGAATGAATTACTGTATTGCGAAGCTGCTTTCTTCTTTCCACGAATCCATCCAAGGCCAAAAACTAAAAATAAGGTTAATGAGGAAATTTCACATTCCGTTTTCCCTCTTGTCTTCCTTTTTTTCTCCCCCTCAAGAATAAATATTCCCAATCGGACGGATTTATCCGGAACGTAAACGTTTCGAAAAGAGAACCAAAAAAGAAAAAGAAAATGTTTTCTTTTGACTCCGTCGGGTTCAGAGCATAAACTTTCAGCGTTAAACACGCAATTTCCACACGACATTTTTGCATTCAACTGTCTGTTCCTTGTCTCCTTATTTTTTCTCCGTTTTCTGGTTTTCGCACTCAAATATGAATTTTTTTTATTTAAATACCGCGGCACAGCCACGGGAAAGGGATCAACTCCATATACAGCATATCGATCGGGGCGACACAAACGAATTAATTTTTTCACTTCTTTTTTTTTTTGCGACTGTACAAAAAAACGCGATTGTGCGGGGTTTGAAGTCAGTCAACAACTTCCATTATTTTCATTTTTGTTTTCAAATCTCCACACTTCCGGTTTTTCTTCCTGCTTATTTTCTCCTTCCGTTCCTCTTGCGTGGCTGCTGCTGTCGTCAGAGATTTCTGTACAATGAACTTGTTTTTTTTTTTGCGAAGTGGAAGTTTTTCTCTGCTTGTTTGGAGAGTATGAGTATTTGGATGGCACTCGTCGGAGACTACGTCGATGGACGTTGACGTGTCGATTTCATGCATGTGCGCAGTCCCCGCAATTGCTGGGTTCCTGCGAAGAAAAAAAAATACTGTGTAAATATACAGTAATTTTTTAATTAATGCTTTGATATTTATGGAAAGTTTGCTGAATATCCTCTTAACATTGGTATGCGTGGCGAACAAGAGAATTGACCAAATACCGGTTGAACGAGTCTGGAAAAGTTTTTAGTAGTAGAACTCTTGAAAGATCGCGAAACGGAAATGTATTTTGAAGCAATTATGATGATCTCCGGAATGAATATTTTCAAGCTTGATAGATTGACCTAGCATGACCTATAGAACACAAAACAATTGACGTATTCTGGCTTTAGTTTAATTGAATATCAGTTCTACTGTGGTCCAAAAGTGATTTGAATCTCTTCAAAAAACGTTCAATCACGGAACAATGAACCCTGATAATATCTGGCCAGAAATGAAGTCATCAGAGTAGATTCAATCAAAAAATTGAACAAAAATGTTCAGAAATATTTTGAAAATGAAAAACAACATCCATCTGCTCTGGTGTGAATTGCAGCGTTTTTTTTTTTTTTTTAGACAGACAAATTGTGAATACAGCAATTCACTTTTTTTAAAGCTTGTATGAATGAATGAACAGAAAGCTGTATTTTCCACTTTTCAGCATTCACAAGGTTCAATCAACATTTCCACAGCCAAACCCCCTCCCCACCCAAACCAAGTCCATTCAAAGACATCCAATCACTTCAGAGTGGGAAACAGAAATTAGATGCAAATGGATAACAAAAATAAAAGAAGATACATTCCACAAAAAAACGGCACAATTGATAAGTAAGAATACACCCCTTCTTTCCCTGACATTGAAAACAGAATATCAGTAGCAAGAATTGCAGCATAAGCACAAATTGAAGGAATTGCAGCGGTTAATGAACCAAATTTAAAGCACACGGTCTTCAGCTTGTTTCCAGATGAGGTTTAGCTGAATGAACAATTTAGAGAGAATCTTTGATGATGAATCATATAAGACTCATGGTTCATCTTGATCCTTAAAGATTTCAGCAAGGGTCTCAATATTCATTGAATTCCAATACTTTTAAATCTTTCTTAAGCTCATTTCCATCAGTATGGAATGATGGGCATATGAAGAGATGATGTTCTGGTGATGCATGCTTGAAGTAAAATAAAATTATCTCGCAGATTTCAATCTTTATCTAATTCAAAATTAAGAAAAAGAAGAATGACTCGATCAAGGCATTTTCGGCAAAAGGTTTTGCTCGGAATTGAAGTGCAAAATGGATAAAAGTTTGTTTCAAAACTCAAAAAATCGATTTCTTACGCACTATTGGGGTGATTATTGTGCCAGTATATTATTATTCGTCTTTCTTTGCTAACTTGAGATTCACTTGCCGATCTACTGTGATGAAATTTCGGTTTTTATGGAAAAATGTTCCTTAATCTTGTTCATGCACGATAGATTTGATTGAGTGAACAGCAATTAAAAGAAAAAGTTGTGAATAAAAAATCTTTTTAAATCCTATTGACTCAACTTTGTCATAAAGTCTGGAAAACCTGTGTGGGATTTTCCAAAATACAGTATGGTCACAAACAGAATAAAGCTGTATGAAATATTCGCGGATTATTTTACGTAACAAAAAAACGAAGTTACAATGCGCGCAATCTAATTCTCAGCTTCACCTGAAAAATGTACGTTGTCTCTAAAACTGAGTCAAAAATTTTTCTGACAGAATCATGAAAAAAAATCTTGACAATGATTGAAAGCACTTTATGTACTACACAAGACAAAGTTGTAATGAAGAAAAGAACGAAAGCGTTCGCATCAACTGTAACAAGTCTGAGATAACAGCCGATCCTAATGGTTTTACACCCAATTCTTTGTCCATTGTCCCAGCACTCAGTTTCCATTTCACGAGCTCTTGTTAAGCCGAAGCCATTAATTATAACGGCTCAATCTCTTCCGCGGAAAAAAAATCATGAACTTACGTATCTTAAAAAAAAAAAAAAAGATGTGGATAATAGCC